GCCGACAGCGGCGGCGGCGGCGCGGGGCCCTGCGGGCGCTCCGCGTGCGAGGCCCCCGAGCAGGAGCGGCGGCTCCGCGCCCTCTTCCAGAAGCTCGACGTGAACCGCGACGGCGCCCTCTGCATCCACGACCTGGCCGAGGGCCTGGGCCGCCTCGGGCTGCACCGCACCGAGCTGGACCTGCTGGTGAGTGGCGCCGGGCCCGCGGCCGCCCCTTCCCGGCCGCAGCCCCGCGAGCCCGGTCCGTGCCCGCGAAACCGCCTGCCCGCGCGAAGGTGGCCCCGCGGGCCTCCCGGTGCCGCGAGCGGCCCGCCCGTGTGCCCATCCAAACGTTCAAAGGGAGCACGGGGCCGCTGTGTCGGGCCCGGTGTGTCGGGCCCGTGCTCGGGTTGTCACGCAGCTTCCGCTGCCTTTCCTCATCTTGGCGCCGCGTCCCGACTTGTGTGAGGCCCAGACGGCTGACGCGAGGCCCGTCCCTTCCTTATCGCCTTGAAGGGAGCGGGCACCGTGYGGAGGGTGAGGAGGGAAGGCTGCGTGAGCGCGTGGCTTGCGTGGGGGCTGCGCCCAGGGGCTCCCTGCCGCCCTTCCCCGGCACCGTCCTCTGCCCCTCTGCGGCCCCGCAGCTCCGCCAGGCGCTGCCCTGCGAGGATGAGCCCAGCTTTCAAAGCTCAGCGTAAATAATTCTGTAATTCTGTTATATTCAGTGTAACTTAGCCCTTTAGGACTCGGGGTGGTTTGCTTGCCCTCCGTGCACACCTTTTTCTGCACCCTGTGGCCTCCTGCGTGTTGCCTGTGTGCCCACGTGCGTCTCGGGGTCGGTAATACCCTGGGAAACACGGGGACAGGCAGAGGTGGCAGCTTCACGAGTGCCTGAATCTGCCAGGAAGGGAGCGATTTAAGGAAAACTTCTGAGCTGCGGAAGAGACGTCTAATTAAACTCATTTTTCTCCCTGTGCTGAGTGTGGTGATCCAATTTGAGTGACTTTCACTGTAACATCCATCCTTTCCAAAGCTTCTGGTTGCTTTTTGATTTTGAATTCCCAGCATCTTAAATTTAACCTTTTTTTCCTCTATACGGGGATTGAGAGGCATTTCCTTTGCTGCTTTAAACTGTGAGGATTTTAGTACTGTTGTTGCTGAAAATACYAGTTAGTGCCACGCTGCTTTGCTGCCCTGGGCGCTTGGGTAACGAAATACGCCCGTACCATAAATCACCCGTGCGTGGCCTGTGAGCCGGTGCCGCGCGCGGGCTCCGAGCCCCGAACTGCAGCGAGAGCCTGGGCTGCGGCCCCGGGAACGTCCTGTGCTGGCRTCCCCGTGCCCGGCTCGGCCTGCAGCCCCTTCCCGCGGGCGCTCTCCAAGCTGCCCTGACATCCCCCAGCCCAGGAGGATGTGCTGGGCCGGTAGGAACCGCGATGCCTTTTATCTGTCCAGCAAATACTTTTCTTTTCTCGCTAGCAAAGCCCCGGGAGCAGCAGAGAGGAAACGTTTTTGCAGGGATTGCACCTCCCCTATGTTAGGGAAACGCTGGATGCACTTGGACCAGCGTGTTCTGCTGAAGCCCCTGGATGCCCCTCTGTCCTTCACTTCTCTCCGCTCTTTTCTCAGAGCTGCGTTCACCYTTCCTGCTCCCCGGCGCTGCAGGAAGCGGCCGGGTGGATGCAGGGCGTTTGTAAAACGTTGCTGCCGTCGCAGAGCATCCTGTTCTGCAGCGTGAGATGCAGCTCCCAGGAACGAGGATGCAGAGTTCAAAACTTGCAAGCTCTGCCTCGACCTGTGAGAGCAATGCTCTAGAAAGCTTGCTAGAAAACTTCCGCCTTAACTTTTAGGGAAAATGAATACACTTCCTGTTTCCCAGCAGTTCTATTATTAAATCATTCATTTTTTTTCCTCCTTTTGTCCCCCATCCTTAGCTAGCAGGGATGTTTCAAGAATTGAGGTAACTAAAGTGAAGTCATAGTCATGAAAAGACTAAAGAGTCAAAATGAAAACCTCCTTGCTATGCATGGTATTTGGAGACAAACTTAGCTTGTGCTTGGTCAAATACTCTGTTACTCTATGGCTCTGGCACCTATTTTCTTTTTTCCTTCCATGGAGGAATTACCTCCATTCACTAGGAATTCTAGTGTTTTGGAGACAGACTCAGAAAATATTAGCCTCAAATGTCAGGTTATCGCTGCTCTCGGCTGCAAGCGTCACTAGGGCAAAAGTCCTTGTGGTAACAACGATAGTTTTGGCCTGCAGTGTGAAAAGAAAAWGAGCAATATTTTGGCCCCTTCAGTATTTTCAGCTTACTTACCAAGGTAAAGTCCTTTGCAGCGCTCTTGGGAAATGGCTGTTTTCTGTTTCAGAGGTGGCTCTCAGTGGTGGGGGAGAGAATAGGGTTGTACGTCGGTGTCCTTCACGGTGGGATTAGCTTATGTAAATATATATATTTTAAACCATGTTGTTATTGTTAAACCCTTGGACAAATATGGAATGCCAGCTCAGTAAGGCTTCTGGAGAAACACTTGTTTGCACAAGTGCAACACTGGTTAGCACAAAGCAAATAAGATACTCTTTTGGAGCACTGAAGTGATAACCAGGTAAATTAAAGGCTTCCTTTTTATACTGTGTAAGGGGATGCTGCTGCACTGCTTAATTTCATCTGTTTCTGGAATAGCCTTTCTTGTTAATGCTACTTTTTGTCTTCCCTCATAAAAATCTTTGTGTAGCCTTGTAGAACTGAAAACATGCAGTCGGTGGAGGTCTGACTAGTTGAACTCACTAGATATGTCGTATTGTTAAGAGGCTGCCCCATGAACAGAATGCACGACGATGGTATTTGTGTCTTTGCTAATATAATTCTTTTCCTACTGCTCCTGATTAACTGCAGGACTGGAGTGCTATTCTAAGGCCTCAGCTTGGCTGCAGAAGTTCCAGACAGTCCAACTGGTGGAGTTGACCCCAGCTCTAGACCCGAGCGAAGCGGCGCGCTGGGTCTGCCCTAGCCGTCCGTGCTGGCGCTCAGCATCTTCTGGTGCCTGTTTCTCTCAGCCCTAAGGATCAGAGCAACCATCACCCTGTCTCTCTTCCRTTGTAACTGTCCCTTTGCCTCTGCTGTAACTTTGACGTCCTCCTTCGTCTCATGATACTTTCTTCTCCTGAATTCATACATGTGACTGTGCTGCCTTCATACCAGCTTTCCTGTATGGCGCTACCTCAGCTGCTGCTCTGAAATGGCCACGTGGGCTCCCATCTCTTCTTCCTCTGCCTGCCTTGTCCTCCTTGATCTTCGAGGTCCAGCTGTCCAGACCCCCATGCGAGTTGTGCTGCCCCTTGGCATGGGGCCGGGGGAGGAAGCGTCGCCGCAGCCGGGCTCTGCGGGGCTCCCTTTGCTTCGGGCTCCTCCTCAGAAGGACTCTGGCTTTAACGTGTAAAGTTTTTAGTTTCCACTTTTGGGGAACGTTGCGTCCGTGCTGTGCTTTCTTGTGCAGGTYTTGGTTTTTTTACGAGTGCCTCCACAGTGGATAGACTCTTAAGAGACATTTTCATAGCAATAGCAAATGGTAAAAGATAYAATTTTATTTCTAATAAATTATTTCTTTTTCTGTCATACCTCTTTGTATGTCTACCTTTTGGACTCTTTCTGTACCTGTTTTACTCTGCAAGTTTTCTGGCATGCTCTGTACTGTGCATAACCTACTAAAATTCTCAGCAATTATAAGCAGAGGAAACAGGATTTTATTCTGTGCTATGCCTTGACCTCCTTTCCATTCACAGTCACCTGGAAGCAAATGATTATGGCTATAAGAGAAGACCTGATTTTTTAAATCAAGTTTAAAAAGTATTTTTAGAATAGAAGAATAAAATTCACATATTAYCAGACTGAACTCTCTCAAATGCTGTACACACATTAGTGCAACCTCTTTAGTGTGCCTCGCATCCTGCTGGGACAGTTGTGGAGCTCATAACTCATCTTTAAGGGTTGAGCAACATATAGTCAAAATCTATCAAGTGAAGCGGTGTCACCTTTGGAAATCCCAGCTGACAGACGCCTTTCTGTTGTAAGATAT